TTAATTATGTTTTTATTCTGACTTTCTTTCAGACTATCAATCAGATGATTGTCTTTTCCCTGCACTGGTCACACCAACAGGTCTGGCRGCTGTGTCCAAGACATTCCAAATCCTGTACAGAAATGAGGAYATACAGATCAATGATGCTTTTATTTTTACTCTCAGTATGCTTGTCGATAGTAACAAGGTAAGGAAACATTTYGTAAAAGGATGGGTGGAGTGAGCTGTTAATGCACTGTTTCTACCAAAGCTCGATGTCRTATGCGAGTAGAGTAATAATTACTYGTTGGGTTCTTCTGTGCTTCTCCTATTCTGGTACTCAAAATTGCAATTGGATCTGGCATTGAAACCTTAACCTAAGCATCTGGCTCAGGAAACTGAGCATTTGACTACTTTGACGACGTGGCACCATGTGGCGAGGAAAACGAAACAAAAATACTGAAATGACAAGTCCACTATRTKTGAGAAATTTCCTCAGTTGTTRRTTTTGAAGAATGAAGGTGCTTGATTGACAGCTGTCAATATAGTGACTTGTTTAAAACTTTTTCGTTATATGTGCATTCTTTAAAAATGCCTGAGTGCAAACTTTGCTTAGACCAAACTTATTGGGTTTCAATAAAAATATRGTACTGTAACATTTGATTGATGGTTGTTTTTTTCCTATTAGGTGACAGAACAAATTGATCARGCTGATATACAGTTGCTGGTAGAGCTTTATTTCTCAGATTCTGAAGTTGGGTTAGTTCCTATATCAATACTTCTTTATTAGAAAATATCTTAATATCTTTAATAATCATAAGATGATCAGAATTAGTAAGTTGTAATGAAAACATGTCAAAAGTGTACTTTACCACTGATACTGTTATCATTGCTATGTACTAATCAAGGCAAAAGTTGAGACAGGTCAATGAGCATTAGTCAAATTCAACAAGTGGTCTATCTTCAAATGCTGCATTCTGATTGGATGAGCTTCTACTAGGCTATAATTTATAGCCTACTAGTAGCAGAAAGTGCTGACTTTGAAATACAGCCAAAATTACATGAAATATAACTTTAATTAGAAACTTGTTTGCATCTATATATTTGACTGACTAGTTGGATTTGACTGAAACAATTAATTCTCTCGCCCTCATGGCCTATGAGTCAATAGCCTATTCGGCTTTCAGCCAAGGACTAATTGCAAAATAGACTACCATCTATCAAAAAAATCATTCCCATATACCTTTTCAGGTTAATCCCACATACTTAATTCTTAAGCCGCCAATTTATTTCTTTGATGGTAGTATTTTGCCGAACAAATGCACATTTTGTCCAGACTTTGTCTGTTGACCAGCTTTTATTTTGAACCCTGGAAAACCAAATGAATGCAGTATCCTTGTGATTAAAGGTACTTTCATGTATTTACATGTATGATCTGTATTATATTTTTTAATTTGGTTGTCATTATAGGCTTGATTCACCAGAGGCACTTCAAAGTGTCACGTCACAAGCACTAAAGCTACATCTTTCCTGCGTCAAAGGACTTCACCACCATGTTCCAGTCCTCTTTGATTATTTTCACTTTGGTGTGATTGATACWACAATTCATGCAGTTTTAACCAAGCTCAGTCTACCAGATCCAAGGTGAAGTGTATGAATGAAACCTGAATGAAACCTGCTGTRCAGTAATCTGGAATATTTCCAATAAAATTTTCACCTCCCCCCCCCACTCCCCTCAACACAACCAGAAAATATAAATAGACATACTGTATTTCAACAATGTGCTGGGAAATTTGAGCAAAATACGGGTGACTACTCACCAATTTTAACACCCCTGGATCCACCCCTGATGGGCTATTGACCCCTGCCTATTTGGGCTACAGGTCTAATTATTACATTTATTACATTGACGCACATGCTTTGTTTTCATAGTTAACTTCTTGACTTTGTGTTAAAAGCAATAAATTTATCTGTGTCAAATGTTCCTTCTGTAGCATTTTAAAACCAGTAAAGTCCTCATGGTTTTCTAAGATTCCCTCCAACGCCAGACTGTCCACACCATTGTTTTATTCCAAATTGTTTGGCAGCAAACCTCCTAACAACGTTCTCGTAAGTATTCTATTATTTGTTTCTTCCCATCAAGCAACTTTTCACTTGAATGTACAATAGACCTATCCCGAATTCGCTTGACTGGTCACGAAACAATGGTTTCAAGTCAAGGTTGGACTTGATGAATAAAATAATCAAGTGCACTCTTGACTTCAAACCATTGTTTCATGGTCAGTCAAGCGAATTCAGGATAGGTCTATTGCCTGCATGTGTCTACTAGAAAATACAAGTGGCTTGTGGGATATTCCTTTTCATGCCACTGAAAACTATTGTATTCTTTGTTTGCTCATGACATCATAGCCACTATCTTGGTTGAACTTAACAAAAGAATAATAAATTGTCAATGAATGTTTTTGTTATATCGAACATGGCTGCTGTGTCTTTTGTTATTCACTCCCTTGGGAATGATTGAAAACCAGCAATAGAGGGTTTGCACCARCACATGATGGCAGCCACGACAGTAGGCAGGAACTAGGCAGGAACAGGTGCAATCTGGTKTATGTGAGGAATAACTCAGTTTCCCAGAGGAAAAAGACTCYAATGTTGTGCCTCCTATCATGGATTCCATCATGTGATGGTACAAAGCCTCTATAACTGGTAGTATATATGCCACCTCACTTAGTGCAATCTTGTCTGTATGTGTTTTCTTATCTAGAACTCCAAGACACCAGCAGAAGAAAGACAGATAAGATTTGCATATGACACTCACAGGTAGGTTGGTTAGTTAGACTCTAAAGCCAAATTTTTTTGGGTGGAGGAGGGGTGTGGGTGAAGGGGCAGGGGTGGGGGTGGGGGTGGAAGAGGAGAAGAAGTGTGAAAACTCACCATCCCTAATCTCTATTCCCATATTTTGAAATTTAACACAGATGCATGGCTGTTCTGCCAAACCATAAACAAGAGCAGCAAAGAACTCAAAATTGTTGTACTAAGAATGACCCAATCGTGTTTCATGTTTTTGTTATATTTTTGTAGATCCCTTTGCAGCACATTGCTGTCTGCTCAAGTCAACTTGTTGGCACACTTTCAATTTCTTTCTGAATTCTTACCAGCCAGTCAGCAAATACAAATAGGTTTGTTAACATATAATATGGATGATCCTTTTCTTGCTTCTTTTTGTTTTTATTCATCCCATCCATCCATCCATCCATCCATCCGTCCATCCATCCATCCATCCATCCATCCATTCATTCAACCCATCCATCCATCCATTCACTCCATCCACCCACCCACCCATCCATCCATCCATCCACTCATTCTTCTGTTCGTAAATCCATCTGTTCACCCCATCCACCCATACATCCGTTCATTCATCTCATCCACCCACCCACCCATCCATCCATCCACCCATCCACTCAACATTTTTCTGTCTGTCCATCCATCTGTCCATCCATCCATCCATCCAACTATCCATCCATTATGTAGTCTAATTCATTCAAACAACAGAAAAGATAATCAAATTATGTGACAGAAAAGAGAAACTATCAATGCCATAATGTGCAAAATAAATAGATACAATAAATTTATCAAATTCCTTTTTATTTCCTTTTTTGCATTTGGCTTTGTTGTTGATACTTTAGCCATGGATAATATATAAAATTTTTTTTCAGAGTCATTGGATTTTGGTGAGAGAATCGAAAATTTGACTGAAGGGATTGAGGTATATCTTATGGTTTGACTATACAACATACACTTCATTTTATGATAGCATATTGAATGAATCCAGAATTATTATCTTATTAATGACCTTGCAGATACCTTAAATTATACTTTCTGTCTATTTCCGCAGTCTATACAAAATGCTAATGAGGTGTTTTCCAAGATTTGTTGTGACCTTGACAACATCAGCTCCGAGGTAAGAATGTCTGGGAACCTAATTGTACGTACATTAGACAACAAAATAAATATGACATTGAAGTATTTATTTTCTTTCTAAAACAAAAACACTTCTTATATTTTTAGTATCTCCACAGCTCACTTCCAGAAATCAAACTCATTTCTCATTTTTCTTCTCATTTATTTTTAATTAAATATTTTTTGGATTTGTTTTATTGGCGTTTTTTTGTTTGGTTCGTTGGTTGAATTTTTTTCGTTTTTCGTATTCTTTTGTAAAGAGGAAAAAATGATAAATGGGAATTAACAGTGGTTTCATGTGGTGTGCGCTGCCGTGGCCTCTCACCAATGCAACTTGAATTGGTTTAGATTCCCAGACTAGGTGTCATATGTTAGTCGAGTTGCTTGTTGGTTCTCTCCTGTGCTTCAAGGGTTTTTCTCTAGGTTCTTTGGTTTTCCTCCATCCTCTAATATCAAATTCTAAATTCCAATCTGATATTAGGGTTTTCACCTGTTGTGATTAATGCATGCTGTAATAATAACAGCCCAAGATAATCGATAGATAGAATTAAAAGTTTATTCTTGTGGAGGGAGAAAAACCAGAGAACCTGAAGAAAAACCCTTAAAGAACAAGAGAGCACCACCTTTTTGTCTTTTTTTTTTTTTT